AGTTTATATACCCTTGCAGTTAAAACTGGATATATATCGCAAACATCAGATATAGTTGGCCGATCCTTATGATTACATCATAATAAAACCAATTAATTACAATAAAAAATCTAAAAAAAAGTCCCAAGCTTTTATCTTCAAAAATACGAAAGTTGATATTTCTACCAAATACCATTTCCAATCGTTCAGTTATATGGCAGCTATAGGATATAGTCGGCCGATCCTAATGAAATTTCGTAGGTCGGATTAACTGACCAAAGATATAATCTGTAGCAAATTTCAGCGTTCTATCTTCAAAAACACGAAAGTTGGGTCATTTCCGATCAATCAGTTATATGGCAGCTATACGATATAGTCGGCCGATCCTAATGAAATTTCGTAGGTCGGATTAACTGACCAAAGATATAATCTGTTGCAAATTCCAGCTTTCTATCTTCAAAAACACGAAAGTTGGGTCATTTCCGATCAATCAGTTATATGGCAGCTATAGGATATAGTCGGCCGATCCTTATGAAATTTGACATGTCGTTTTATTTTGCCAAAAATAGCTCTCATGTCAAATTTGAACTCTCTAACTCTCAAAACACCAAAGTTATACCAGTTCCGATCAATCAGTTATATGGCAGCTATAGGATATAGTCGGCCGATCCCGGCCGTTCCGACTTATATACTGCGTGCAAAGGAAAGAAGGGTGTGTGCAAAGTTTCAAGACGATAGCTTCAAAACTGAGAGACTAGTTCGCGTAGAAACGGACAGACAGACAGACGGACAGACAGACGGACAGACAGACGGACAGACGGACAGACGGACAGACGGACATGCTCAAATCAACTCAGGAGGTGATCCTGATCAAGAATATATATACTTTATAGGGTCGGAGATGTCTCCTTCACTGCGTTGCACACTTTTGGACAAAATTATAATACCCTCTGCAAGGGTATAAAAACTATCTTTAAAATATCTTATTTTTAGATTTTTATGTAAATGATTAGAGAATCGGTTCACAAATCTTTCAATGTATTCCATTTAGAAATGGCATGCAAAAAGCCATACATATTTATTAACCAAGCAGGGGAACATATGGGTCCTACCCGAGCGTCCCTATTTCCAATCCTTCGAAGGTGGCGCTTGATGCGCCAGACAGCCGCATTAAAGCCAGCAGCAGGCCGCTGTCAAGGCTTACGCTCAACAAATGATTACCAATTTCTTCACACAATCCATGCATAAAAATAATTCCCAATTAGCTGCAAAGCCATAAGCGAAATAAATAAAAGGAGGCGCAAAAATAAAAAAATCCGACATCCATGAGCCGAAAAAACTGAGCTGGCGCCTTCGTGTGAATACCGTCGCAGCGGTAAAAATAATAATAATCGTAAAAAAGGCAACGTGATGGGCGGGCAGGCAGCCGGGTTATATACGGAGTAGGGATAACCATATATGAATATGGATATATCCCGGACAGGGGGTTGAATGAAAGGGAAACCGAACAAACGAGAGTGCGACATGATGTTGATATGTTAACAAGACGCCCCAAGAGTGCCAACTGGTGACGATGATCCTCGAATCTTAAAAGAACAAAAAAACCAAAACCAAAAATGTATTTAAAAAAACAGGACAGCCGTCACAGTTGGCATTATATTCCTCATATATGTATACTCCGGTAGCGATGTTGGGCATATGTGAATGAATGTTTGCTGTTTTTTGCTGCAAAATTATTCAAGGATTCGCAATAACAAGACTTCACCTCAACCTCGAATTCGTTAAAAGACTCTTAATCCAAGTGGTGTGGCTTCTCTTGTTAATTTCCATAAATGGTGTGCAGACTTGTGTGTTTATTAATGTTAAAAAAGACACTTATTAAGACTTTACAATAGCTCTTTGAAACAATTAGAGGAAAATAGTAATAAATAAATTTATTTTAAGGGCTCTAAGTTTCCTTAGAATGACTTTAAAATATCTATAGTATATCCTAGGAATATATTAAGTTTTTTTTAAAGAGTATGAAATTCCCACATCACCCTTATTTTTTTCAATTTATATTTTTGAAAGGTTTCTAAAAATTGGATTTGATTTATTTTTATTGATGGCCATATAAACGCTCGACTGGTCTGAGATTTAGGGGACTTTGTCTGGCCGATCCATTGGTTTATTTTATTTATTTTAAATTTATATTTTGCGGGTAGCCACGGTAGTAGTCGGCTGGTAGTAGTCATCACCCAACAGCAGGGGGGAGTTTGGGTTCCAAAGTTTCAGGGTCTTCGGCGATGGCATTTTCAAAAACATTTTACGCAGCGTGAACGACATTTTCTTGGGTCTGGGGGCTTCGTTAAGGATCCACCTCCTACATTTCATAATTCACGGAATATTATATCTACCCGGTACGGATTTGGCCAGGGCCCTCGGCCAGACCAGGGAACAATGTTGGGGCCCGGCGCTGTCATTTGGCCACTTCACAAAATATATTCTCATTAAAATTGTGCTTTTTGGTGCTTCTTGTTGTCAGCTCCCCTTTGGGTCTTGGCCAAAATATGTGTGTGCCTTGACCAAATGTCTACTGGCCAAGAGGAGACGACGATGTCGTCGCCGCCACCACGCCCACCCCCTGTGGTTTTGCTTCCGTTGGAGACGCCACTGAAGAATTCCCTGGGATCACGGATTCAGATTCAGATTCAGATGCGGATTGGAATTGGAATTGGATTGGGCAGCCGATCGCGAATCTTGGCGGCCACTGCGGGCAAGATTCAAAAAAGTTTTTTACGCTGTTTATGTGCAAATGTCGAAACAAAGATATTTCTTTAAATTGATAAAGATTAACCATAAACAAAGCTCCGAGGGAGGCTTAAGCCCTTGGAGTAGGAGGTAGCTGGAGGAGTAGGTATGGAAATTGATCTTCAGGGGGGAACTAAATGAAGAACTGTTTAATTTAATTATAATTTCAAGCATTTTCTTATCCATTTATTTGTCTAGGGCCCTTACCTCAGCCATACCTTGTAATTCGAGTCGAATTTTCTCAACCATTCGTTGGGAGTTTCTTACCCGCGGCGTGAGGTTGTGAAATATGTTCATTCACAGTCACTGTTCTAACATTCATTCAACACTTTTTGGCCCTGGCCAGGTTTTACGAGTAGTATCTGGCCAGGAGTCTGAAGACAGAGCCATTCAACCGGATGTGGGCGTCAGCAGGCATGTAATCTGATCCCTGACAAATCGGTCTATTAGAATGGCGAGCGAGGTGGCGGCGGCGGTGGGACTGTGTGTTGAAATATTTGTCGCATGCACCGCAGAGATCTAGGGGATCTGGCATCTGGGATCTCTTGGATCCATTGAGCATCTCCACATGGATCGCCCCGAACCGAAAAGCCATGAGGCGAGCGTAGGTGGCGCTGATCTTGGGCTGTGGTTGGATTTGGCCTAACCCCGTGGTGCACGAGGTGCATGAGGTGCAGTTAGGCCTCCATTGGAAAATAAAAAGTGGAGAACCTAAAGTGCACTGGAAGAAAAATGAAGAACCTATGTAAAACGTCTTGGACAACCAATTTTAAGCCTTTGAGTTACTCTTTATTTAACAATAAAATTCTAATCGAATACTTTCTTATTGGTTCTATTTTTTCTTAGTGTATAAACCTCAAAAGGGAAAAGTCGTGGATGGCGCGTGTGCCTAGCCCTTATTTTCCTGGCTTTATTCTCCTTAACTTTTTTTATTTTTTTTTTGCTTATTTTTTTGTCGATTTTATGAGGCGCAAGTGGCGACGTTTTGTGGTTGCAAGGCACACACAAGCCTGGCCCAGTGGACAGCTAAAATGTTGCACGTTGCTGGTGGCGGCAGTCCTCCCTGCACACCCCTCCCTTCACCCCTCCTCTTCTACCTGTGCACCCCTTTCCCCATATTTGGTTTTTTTTTGTGAACCCTACTCTTCAGCTTTTTCGGCGCCGCAGCAATTCATAAACGTGGGCGATTGATTCTCGTACCTCGTGGCCTCATCCTCCCCAGCTTTTGGGCTTCGACCCGGGTTTCTTCTGGCTTTTGGCTGCTTTTGGGCTTTGGCTTTGGCACTAAGGCTCGGCAAATGGCCCGCGGCATTGCGATTGAACTTCAAGTTATGATCGTCGTCGGAGTTGAAAAAAAAAAAAATACAAAAATAAATAAATAAAGAAAAACAGCAACCAGAGTATTGCCACATTGATGAACGTTCCGCTCACGAATGAACCGACCAGGCTGAGGCACCAACACCCAACAGCTGTGAGGACTAGGAAGCTGGGATTTGTTTGAAAGTAAGGGATACCTCTTGAAGGATCTAGGAAGGAGTTATAGGTCAATCGTTTGTTTTTGTCCCATAATGGATGTTTGGTATGCTTTAAATTCTCTTAACTTTTATAAAATAAATATAAGCAATCTTAAATCATTGATTGAAATGAATTATTTAGCCTAATTCGTAGCCTTATAGTATTATTCATTTTGATTTTATTATAAGACTCTTCAAAAAACAACATACCCTAAAGCTCTTCTCATCTCAGAGGTATTTGGCCACAAAACACGCTGTTACCACTTATTGATGGCACATTGTGATGGTGATGCGTTTTGCCTGCTCAACCAAAAAAAAAAAGAAAAAAATCCAACAAAAATTTCGAACCCAGCAAGCGGCCCAGACTCCCGCTTGTCTTCATCCTGCTCCCTTCTATGAGCTGGCCTGGCGGTGGAGAGGCGTTCTGCTCAAATGTATGATACCCACCCACGAGCAGCCAGAAATCCAGCGAAACTATGATGATGACTGCTCGACTGGAGCCACTCCCTCCCTCCCCCCAGCCAGCTGCTCCTCCCCCTGCTCCGACGAACTTTAGCCCGATTTTGGTTTTGGTTTTTGGCTTCGGTATGACTGAAGGTGCATCTTTCGTTTAGGTTCGGTTTAGTTTGCTCTCAGCTCCTCGCCTTCCAGTCCTCCATTCAGTCAGTCCTCCATCCTCTAGTCCCACAATCCACCAACCCAAAGAAAGACAATGCAGAATTAAGCATTTCCTTTATTGTTGTTGCCGGCTGGTGGTTTCTGGTGCCTTTTGTATTACTTTAAGGTGTGCTCCAGGTAATAATTTAGTTAAATCATATTTTCGGCAAAAGACCAAACGGCAATAAAATCAGCAAAAGCTACGGGGTAAGTGGCAGGTTAGCATTGCCATAAAAAATCATTCGCATTTAACACTCACTGATTTAGCCAAGAAACTAGTTGACTTTGTGGACTTCTATGAAATATAATTTTTAATATTCGCAATAAATATGCTTAAAAGTTAAAAAATTATTTACATTTTTTTTTAAACATACCATATTTAACATCTGCGTTTTATTGGAATACATTTCCCTGTGACTGTTCTAAAATAACAATCATTCGATAGACTTCGATAGAATGGGAAATCACAATTGGCTATGTATATCCTACGACTTGATGTTTTCACGGTCATTATAATTACATAAAATATAGCCACACATATTTTCAATTTGAGATTCATTGTTCAAAGAATTATTTTAATGTGGAGCGCTTGAAATTCCGTTTGCTACTGATATGAGGTTCAATAAGCTTCATGAATTGTACCATTAATCTGATTATAAAGGCCAAAGATGCCAATTAGTTGATTTCTATGAAAAAAAATAAAAGCAAACATTTAAATATAAATTAATGTATACTGTGTATGTAAAACTTATGTATCTCACTAAGATTTAATTGATTTATTTAATGAAAGAGAATCTAATCCAGTTCTACTTTAAGAGAGAAAAAACTAAAGAAGCTTAATTCGGATGATATTGCATTTGTATATACGGGGACATCTCCTATAAAGTAAAAATAATTTGTTTACGTTTGATGACGTTTGTCGCATCTCTCAGTTTTAAAGTCTCACATATAAAAAATATTTCGTCTCTGGATTTTGATGCAGATTGGTGGCGAATCGATCCAGAAATCGCTTAAGGTACTTCGCTTCAGAATCGGATGAGAATTGAGGAAGATATGGCCATCGCAGTGGGCCCTACAGGGGAAGACCCCATTTTCAGGGGATCCCATCATGAAAAATGGAAAAAAAATCTCAAAAATATTTTGTCTTTGGATTTTGATGCTTGGAGCACCAGACGCTTTCAAGACCATTAGAACTACTATGAAAATTAAGTAAAGATTGATTTAAACTTGAGATTCATTTTAAAGAATGATGATTATATGAAACTGCCGCTTTTGTAGCCTCCGAAAGAGGCACAAGTAGTTTAATTGTGTTTGATTAGAAAGGTCAAAGTTTAAAATTTTGGGGCAGGAGACTTCCGGCCAAAAAACACAGGCAGCTTGCAGCTTGTCTTGTCTAGCAATAAATATTAGTTAAAGGTATTCCTACCGTAAATGCTAAAATTAAAAAAATATCAACAACATCAAGTCAAGTCTGATCAGCTCGTCTGAGATCAAGTTAAAATTTTTAAGGTGTGACCAAAAAGTGATCGAAGCTCATAATTTTTTAAATTAGCATTTTTGTGTTCTTCTCTTTTTTGATTTTTGGTTTGCACTGAGGAAAAATATTATAGTGTGTTATAGCTTCTAAAAGAGTGTCAAGAGTGGTTTTAAGCCATTTATTTATCTTTTATATTTTTTCCAGTGCAGGGCTTGGTTGGTAGCGTCTGGAGGAGACCCACGAAGCCACCGCAGATGGTTTTATTTTACGTGGCGCGCGTTGTCATAAAACGAAATTTACAAATTGTGTCGTCTCCGAGCCGTCAAAATGAATACAAAAACACAAAACCCCAAGAATCAACCGATGATGATGCCCGATGCGACGACATAGACAACATCATCGAGCATCATTCTCCGTCTTCGCCGGCTTCAGACCGCCGTCTTCAGTCTGCAATCTTCCCCTCGGCTTTCTTCCCTCTGAATTCTTCCCGCAAGTGATTGCAATAAACTCATCAATAAATTGCCGTCTGTTTCGCATGGGTTATATGACGCCAGTGGAACCACCAACGCAACCACCGCACCACTCACTTGGTCATTTTAGCCTTTATTTTTTTTGGTTTTTTTTTGGTGTGAGTGGTGTCTTCCTCTTCTGCGGTGGCTTTCTTTCTACGCGCGTGGCTAAGTGGATTTGTGTGTTTTGTTGTGCGAGAAAAATGTTTATTGTTTCAACTTTGTTATCAGTGGTTAAGTAAACACACGCACACACCGAGTGTGGTCAATTTTTGTGATCGTGTGATTTCTAATTTGTTTACACTCCAACAAAAGGCAACAAAATTATTGTACGCTTATTTATGGCTGCAACTGTCAAATGTCCAACCGGAAGAGTCCAATTCTTCCCCCAAACCCATGCCCAATCATTCTTCTTTCCATTTCTTATATCTGGTTTCTGGGCTTATCTTTGAAGCCCAGGAATTTTGTCCGGGAGAATTGAATTTTGTCTGAATTTTGCTGAGAATTTATTAGTACAAAGAAGTCGCGTGTTGCCATCATCAATCAGTGGAAGGGAATGAGATTCGGATTGAGAAATCGGGTCTCCGTGTGAGATCGAAAGATCAGAAGCTTGGCTTAAGAGGCTAAACCTTAAGAGATATACAAAGTATTTCACACCTTTCTTGAGTTTAGACTAAAATTTTTTATAATATATACTTTTAGTATAAATATAGACCACCGAAATATAGATCGCAAACATATGCTTCTTATAATGTTAATTATTAGTTAAAGATACCTATAATCTTTAAAAATTATATATTTTTAAAAACGAAATTAAACTCTTTATAATATATATAAATTTCTTTAAAAATACTTCCAAGCATCTTCTTTTATTTCATATTTTTTTACGTAAGCTGGCCTTTCCAAAAGTCACCCAAGATTTTCATTTTAGATATCCAAAAAATTGAGAACAAAAACGAAAAACATAATGATGACAAAGTCATGATTTAAATCAAGTTGTGACGCCCCCGTTGGCAATTTTTAGATAAAAGTAACGATATGTATCATTTAAACCGGTAACTGAATAAGAATCCCCGGGCAATCACAACGAACTTCAAACATTAAGTCGCGTTGGCCCGCCTCAATGTTTATTCAATTATCGCAGCATGGTGGCCACGAAAGAAGAAAAAAAACAACAAAAATATACATATAAATAAGATAACCCTGGCTCTCTAACAGCAACCCCAATTTTTGTCCGGAACCATCTATTAATAGCAACTGTTTCGCTTGTAATCTATATGCCATGCCACGCCCAATCCAGGAGTTCATTAAACATCCCCCTGTTGGAAATTTTGATGGAAATTCTGGCAATGGGGTGCGAAGTGCTCACAAATTATTAAGCTAATAAACGACAATACTGAAAAGGAAGAGGATATACGTATCTATGTATATCCGAAATAGGGGAAGCAATTTGTCCCCTTTGGTGGTGAATTCCCTTCAAAGTGCTGATAAGCGTGAAATGAGCACTTAAAACTGCCCCGCAGAACTGTCAACGGCAGCCCGAAAAGGGATCGGGGTTATGGATTTCGGATACTGGACGGGATATATACTTATATTTTTTATATGCATCGTTGATCTTTCAGTGGTTGACAAAAAAGGGCTTATGTAACCATAAATGCTTAGGACTGGTAGTGGCATCTGTTGGACTTTAGTAGTCTTTTGCAGAAAATGGTGGGAATCTGCAAAGATTAAAAATTCTTAGTATTTAGGAATAAATATTATTAAAAAAGAATTTCTTATAAATGAGGCTTATGAAGTTGGAGTTCTGGAGTCCTCAGGCTTCTCTTCATCTTATTTTTTTTAGACTTCTCAATCTCAGAGATCCATCCCCAGTTATCAAAGGAGCTTACCTGGTTATTAGGTGTCGTAATCATTCGACAGCCACTCAACCTAATTAGCCATAAAGTGAGCGCCACATCGTGTGTCACAAATGTCGGCTTAGAATCATTTTCTAGGGTGATTATTGTTCTGCTTGGATTGAGGTTTGATGGAGAGAGCCTTTGACACGTGATCAGAGAGTGAGATGGATGTGAAAGTTCAATTATAAATGTAGGGGACTCTTGGGTTTCCTACTAAAAGCTTATTACTAACTGACTAAGCATTCCATTCCCGTTAAAATAAAAAAAATCCTGATAAATACAAAAAAATCCCACACTTTGCTAATCTCTGAGCAAACAAGATCTCTGGGCCAGGCCAGGTTACCTAAAAGCAGAAACAAACGAAAATATGTCACATTTTTTCACTCGAAGAACTCGGCGAACCTCGAAAGGCTAAAAACGGAAATTTACAACTGAAACCCCCACCTTGTGCCTTGTGCCCCCCATCTAGTGTGCCAACACTCAAAATAGCCGGCTAACAGTATTACAACACCTTGACAGACGCTAAAATCTATATTTGTTGACAAATATCAAGGGGTATGATGGTATACCCGGTTACCCTGGTACCCTGGTACTTACTCTATGTTTATATAGGTACACATATACATACATACGTCAACGTATAGTCCGTCCACGATATCCGTGCAAAGCAATCTTGTCAGTATATTACGTTAATGACAAATTGACGGCACCGGCTCTTTGATGTGTTTTGTTTGATTGTTTTGGTTCTAATCATCGTCGACTGCCGACGAAGTAGTCGTGGACAAAAAAAGTGGGCGGGGCAGGGTCTGGGTCTGGGTCTGGGGCTGGGATCTCAGGGGTGTGCTTTGCAAATGATTTCGTTTTAATTTAACCGCTTACTCCTACTCGTCACTCAATTAGCTTGCAACTCGGCGAAGCTTATCAGTTTCCGAAAAGTCATATAACTCCCCTATGTGTCTAGCATGGGTGTATGTTTGCCCAGAGGGGGAGGGTGGGTGGCGAGTGGGCAGTACCGGGTGATAAGCTCAGCCATTATCTGGGGAGCTCTCTCGCTCTTTGAACACTTGGAGAAATATTATTTCTTAAGGTTCTTTATGTTAAAGGTTTTATATTATATATCCTTTGTCTTTAAAATATAAATCATAGGTTTTAAAGACTAGTATTTATAACCTTTTCATTTCCTTTAATTAACTCGATTTTTTTCAAGTGCATCCTGCAATTGTTTAGATGTGTTCTGTCACTGTTTGACGACGACTATGTGATGTTGTAGTACACAAGTCGATCCGGCGACTGCTCCGTGCTACGTGCCCGTCCCAGGTTGTCAAACAAGCCGTGTTCAAATACCAAATTACGGAGTACTTTACGGAGAATACGGGAGAGTACGGACGGATAAAGAGAGCCTGGCTATACCGGACTCCATCCGATTGTCAATTACAACTCTAAATGCGTGTGTGCACTCGACATTTGTCGCATTTATTTACATTTGCGCCTGCCTGCAATAAAAGCCAAACCACCGACACCGAGCTATAGGCTCTGTCGGGGCACATGGGAGTTGAAAATAATACGAGTGTTCATGCAATATGCATGCTTTAGTACTCTGCCGCAACGTGAGAGAACTCTGGGCCCCAAGGCCCCAAGGGCCCAAGGCCCACTCCTCCACCCAGGTCGGCAAAAGTGTCCCATCCAATAAAATCTAATAACCACTTGGGGTTTACCTCTTTCCACAGCTGGCGGGGGAGTTGGGCCAAGTCGGTGACTTTATAAGCAAGGTCTCTCTATTCACTTGCACGATTTTCGGCAGCTTTTCTTCTTCTGTATGATGACATTGACGACGATGGCATTTCCAGAAAATTTCTTACTTTTATGATGGTGTGGCGGTTGCCTCTTAAGTTCCTCCACCCCCAACCAAGAAGTGGGTGCTGGCAGGGATTACAAATTCCTAGGAATTCCACAATTGTCCTACTTTATTAATTCTTTTAGCAAACAAGAGAAACATTTTTGAAATATTTTTTAAGTAAAGATCTCATTTTAAGTCCCTTAAAGAGTAAGGAAATATTATGGAATGGCTGGAGATTCTACTGGGGCCACAAATATGCGAAAATGTTTACGAGATGGCACCTAATTAGGCAGAAGAACGCCGCCAGAAATTTACGTTTCCTTAGGGTTCTGGCGCAGCTTTTAAGACTTCAAACTTTTCAAATATTTCTTCAGACTTTTCAAATCCTCGAACGCCGGCGGCTGGCCTAAAAAGCAAAAAATGAGTAAGTGGTGCTTTCTTGGTGGTGCCATGCACGGGAACTAGAAACCTAGACATATTTAAATAAATTAAGAAAATATCTTCCCTTCTTACCAAATTTAATAAAAAATTTCAAAATTAAATAAGATAGTTTATAGTTTATTTTAATGGTTTTAAATTCATTTATTTTGTAGTATTTTCTTTCTGTGTATCACTGGTGCGTAGATCAGCGTTGTGCAAACACGGATTCGTTCCCATTGAGGTGCCGGAGCTGTTGGCCGGGTCAAAATTATTGGCGTGGTTACGACCGGACGGACAGCCACATACATCAAATCATAAAGCAAATGGTGCCGACAAACTAACTGGCCGGAGCCAAAATGGCAAAATGGCCAAATAACCAAACCGACAGCCCCCTGACATTTACATTCGCAGTCGTCACCCTCCCAAAAAAAGATATATATATGTATATATATAAAAGAAAAGAAACAACGCCAAACATCGATGGGGCCAACAAACAACGAGCAAACAGCCAAACAACTAAACCACAGACGACAACCAGAACGTTCCGCTTTTTTGTATTATTTTTTTTGTATCTTCTGAGTTGGTTCCGGGAAACGCAACAAAATTTCACAACGCACCGAAAATGTTTCCCTTCCTTGGCCCGGTCTTCAAAATCGTCTTGGCCAGAAAACACCTTGACCAAAAGCAATAGCCAACTTCAAAGAATCTTCGGAACGGCCACGCCTCGGACACTAGACAACAACATTGTTGGTTGATGCACTGCAAAAAATAGTGGATTTTTGGCTTTAATTTGAGCTCAAAGAGATCTTTAATATATTAAGCTAGTAACTAAATAATTTTATTTATTGAAAATATTTTAAAGTATATCCTTTTTTTGCTCTCTGGATTTTTGTAGTTGTTCTAAGTTGTTACCATAAGTGTTGCAGATCGAAGGTGGAATGTTGCCTTGTTGTTGCTGTTGCCAGTGTCGTTGTCTGTTGATGGGCTTATTAGAGTTAGTCAGAGTTTAGCTTCCCACTCCCCCCTCCCCTCCTCCTCCTTGCCCACCAAAGAGCCCACGTTGTGGTGTCTGGGGCGGTGCGGAAACCTCAAAGCGAATTTAGTGCGCTCCCGCCTCCTCCTCGGCCTCGTTCCCCTTCCGGCTCTTTTCGGGTTGTCCCCTCGGGTTTATGACGACAATGCGTTTGCTGTCATAATTATTAGTCAAACACAAACAATGAATTTCATAATTTTCCCATCAATATGGTCCGGCAATGGGACATGGACATGGACATGGACGTTTGCCGCGAAACTCCAATACTCTCCGAGTCGCCGAGTACTCGAAAGCGTTCAAACATCCGCTGTGCCCGCACGCGCCGCCCGGGATGTTGTTGGTGCCCGGGACTTGGGTTTGGGATTTAGCTGCAGGATCTGCAGAGCCGGGAATCAGAGGAGGGAGGTGTACTCCTAGTACAAAGCCAGGGGTCTGGGGTGGTACTCTGTCGAAATGAAGCCGTCGCGCGTAAAGTGTGAAATTGCTGGCAATTCGCAAAGACGCTCCATTCTCGGCTCAACTTTGGGTCGCCTGGCTGTCTTTGGAGCTCCGTTTGAGGTCTGGACTAATGGGAGATGTCAGTGCACTGAAAAATAATAAAGTAATATTAGAGAATAGTAATAAACTTTTATTGTATTTAACATTCTTTGAAGGTTTAGGTTCTTCTTCGTCAAACTCTGGAGTCTCGAGTATTGGTTCTTCTTAGTCCTTTTATTTCTTTTTTTCTCTCAGTGCATCTTCCTTGCTTGTTCCATTGAATAGAACAATATCCGCGCAAATATTTGCAGAGGGCAGCAAGCAGGCCGTGTTTAAAATGTTTAACCATCCCGGAGGAGCGGCAGGAGGCAAACAGAGCCTCAAAAATCCCTGGTCAAGCTCCAACTCCGGCTCAAAACTCTGTCTCTGCATCCATAATTGTTGTTTGATCGTTGTAATTGGTTTGGGGCAGCTGAGGCACAGGAAATGCAACAGCAACGGCAACACAGACCGACGACAACATTGCAGGCGGCTTTGCATTGATCCGTTTAACGATTGACAAACGCAGCAATCTTTTGGGAAGTTACTGGAAAAATACAAAAAAACGTTAAGAAAATAAAAGGGGTCGGGTCGGCACTGGCACAGGAATTGAAATTGGACCCAGGAGGAGCTCCGGGTCGGCGTTTGCTTTTGAACTTGGATGAGGGACTTGGGTGCGAGTGTGTGTCGTTATGGACGCATCTCTTTTGTAGTCGATAATAAAAATTGTAAACTTTGTGGCAGTCCGTTTAGCTGGCATCTGTCTGCATTTGGTGGAGACTCCGCCCTGGTTCTTCCAGCAGACCAGCCCACTTTTCGCCAATAAAATTTGAAAGTAATATATGGAGAAAGAGCTATATAGGACTTCTTGGGTGGCCTCACTGATATAGCGCCTGCTCTTAACTTGTCCAACATTATTTGACTTGACTGATAGCTTGGAAAACTAAAAGAGGAAATGGTGGGAAAATATTTTTCCTCCTTTTTGTGTAGCCCGGTTTTAGTTGGACTCTATTGTCACTCTTGTTTGTTGTCAAAGGCTTGTTGTGCGATGTGTTTTCAAAGGTGTTCGAAGGTGTACACCTTTAATGGTACATTAATTGCCCTTGTTGGCACTCGAGTGATAAACATCGGTACAAATATTTGATTTTAGTTTGCTACAAGTGGGTAAATAATGTCACTACAAGAGTGCAATCAGTGTGGGAGAAAGGGTGAGAAAAAGGTGAAAAATTTCCCAACAGGAATTCTACAGAAGAAGACCTCCTTTTCAAGACTCCACTCTTAAAATAAAACACTTTCCTTCTTCAATTTTTCTTTAAACTAAAATCATTTATTCGACATTAAAATAAGAGTCGATATTAAAATCAAGTTTTTAAGTTTCTATATCGTGTGCCTTTCACAAAGTCATACTTTCCTGCTAAGCTTACGTGACAAATATCCATGGCTTACTCTAAGATTTCTTAACTACTAATCTTAAACTAAATTAAATGCTTGTTTTAGTTAGTATATAGGTTATGAGCAAAACACAGATCAGACACAACGTGGAGGGATTCGTAATTATGAGAGCTGCAAATGAGATTAATATTTTTGTTTTTTTTGAGTGGAGAGTCCGTGACGGGAAGATCAATCGCTGACGGCCACCAGGTCCCTGGCGGATGCTGCAGTGCTGGCGGTGGCTGCCGGTAGTAGTCCCAGATCGGAGCTGGAGCTCGAACCGGAAGCGAATAAATCACTCAGATTGCCGCCCACACCGCCGCCCACACCGGCGGCCAGGTTGTGCGTCAAGCTGTGGCGCCTCAGATCGCAGTTGCGCCGGAAGACCTTGCCGCAGGAGGAGCAGTTGTACGGCTTGATGTCCGTGTGGGTGAGCAGGTGGGTCTTCAGGTTGGAGCGCTGGTTGAAGGAGCGGTTGCACACGGGGCACTTGTGCGGGGACTCCTCCATGTGCAGGATCTTGTGCACGGCCAGGGTGCGCGATTGACAGAATCCCTTTCCGCATTCGGCGCACTTGAAGGGCTTTTCCTTGGAGTGGATATATCTGGAAGATGCAAAAGATACAGAAGAGAAGGGGAGTTAGATACTTTAGCCAAAACCTTTGAGACTTCTAGGGGTTAAACAAGTATTGTTATCCACACCTACCTATGATCCCTCAGATGATCCTGCCGCCGGAAGGCCTTGCCGCAGATGTCGCAGGAGTAGGGCCTCTCGTCCGTGTGGGTCCTCTCGTGGATCAGCAGATTATACGACTTGGTGAACTGTCGGTTGCAGAATTTACAAATGAACTGCTTCTTGGACCGCTGGGCTGCTGCCGCCGCCGCTGCAGCTGCCGCATTAGAGCTGCCCGCCTCCTCGACACACCCTGCTCCTCCCCCGCCTCCGGCCATAACGCTCATCTTGTCCTGATACATTGTGGCCTGCAGGGAGTGCAGGGCCGAGTCCGCGTCCGCTTGGCCAAAGGCCGAGGGATTGAAAATGAAGCTGCCATAGCTGCTGTCCAGCTCTCCCGCCTCGAAGGACAATGCATCCTCGCCGTCCAACAGGGGCAGATCGCACTCGGCCGCCAATTCCGCAGCGGTGGCACAGTCGAGGGCTGCCTGTTGATTCGCAGCAGCAGCTGCTGCCGCTGCAGCGGCCGCCACAGCAGCCGCGGCACTAACGGTTCCAATCGAGGGCAGTGGGAGGCATTTCGAGGAAGTGGCAGTACTGTTGGAGTGGCTGCTGCCGCTTGTGGCGCTGCTGGACGAGGATGCTGCCGCTGAGCTGCTGCCTGCCCCGCCCCCTGCCGAGGTGGCTCCTGTCATGGACTGCTCCCCCGAAGAACTGGAGGAGCAGCTGGACTTCAGCTCAATGTTTGCAATATCTATCAGCGATGGCAGCGGGTTGTTCTCCGATTCACTGATGTTGCTGGCTGTGTTGTTGTTGCTGGCGCTGCTGCTGTTGCTGGCGTTGCTGCTAGTGTTGTTGTTGTTATTGCTATTGCTGCTGCTGTTGCTGGCGAAGCGGAAGACATCGGATTTCCCAGTGAGTCGCTGCAATGCCAAGTAGGACTCCAAGGCTTGCAGGTTAAGGGCTGCTGCTGCCGCCGAGTTGGCCGGCAACAGTGCCGCCTGTTGCAGGCTGCTGACCATGGTTCCTTGCAACGACAGGACAACAGCAGCCGCCGCAGCCAGGTCGTTGGTTGCCGCAGCAGCTGTTGCGGTGGCAGCGGCGATGGCAGCATTGCTGGTCGTCTTGCCGGCAATCGGTGATGTTGCTGGTGTGCACTTGCTGCTGCTGTTGCCACTGCCGCTGTTGTTGCTGTCATTCTTGGGGTGTCCTAGTTTGAGTTCCAGCTTGGTGTTTAGTTTGTGGCTGTTGTGCTTCGATGTGGTGGCATGGCCTGATGATGTGGATGCCTCGAAATCGCCCAGCACCTCGGCAATCTCGGTGGCTGATGTTGCTTGCGTTTTTGCTGGCATATCACTGGATGTTGCAGCTGCAGCAGCAGCGGCAGCACTCAAATGCTTAACTGCCTCCATAAAAAAGTCGAATCCACGCACACTCTCAGCTGGATATCGAAATAAATTCACCTCCTCCTCGAGGCCTCGGGGCTCTGATGTTGCTGGGTTGCCTCTGATGTTGTTGTTGCTGCTTAGCTGGCTGCTGGCTGGTTTCCTTTTGTTGTTGTTGTTGTTTTCTTTCGTTTTTTATTGTTTGGCGCACCTACGCAGGTTGAGAGGTTCGGAGCGCGTCCACATGAATATTAAAAACCACACGCCATCATAAATCACGTCTTAGTCACGCTTTCAAAAGTCATAAAAATCGAATTTGACGTTGGCCAAAACCACTACCACTACTACTACTAACAACAACAACAACAACAAAAGCCAAAATGCAATCGGCCAAGTCGAAAAATGGCCAATTTGGCAGGCACGCTTTTTGCAATTTTGTGGCACACGCGAATTATGAATAGTAACAATTATTTAAATGTCTTTATTTCTTTCTAATGGAGTTTTGATATTTTAATATCCGTTTCCGTTTTTATTAATCACTTCCGGTTTAGGCACACACACACACATGACACCCATTCATATATGCAACTATTTTGCATTGTTTTTGTTGTTTTTGTTTATTTTCTCTGGCGGCTACTGCTTCTTCTTCTTCTCTTGACGTCGATCAGCCGTCGCTTCAAACAATATTGGTAAAAGATCTCGGAATAACTAAAAGTCCATTGCTCTGCGGACGGTGCGCGGACCTGCGCTCACTTGTTGATCTCTCTGTGGTCACCTCTCACCAACACCACGGCATCCCAAGTCTCCGAGAGAGAGCGCCAGAGCGGGTGGTGTGTCCCAGCAAGATCCCCACACGTAAAAGGTGATCGGAGAGCGCGAGAGCAACGTTTAAGCCAGGTGCAAACGAGTTCTTGTCAGTGCGTTTAATCTCTTGAGCACCTTTCAGGTGTGCTCTCCCAGACACATACACAGCCACGAAGGAGCACACCCATACTGCAATTCGTGGCTGGAAGTGGGAAAGAGAGAACCGGTTTGTGGCGCTGTCTTTTTTGCGGTTAAATATGCCTGATTTTGAGTGGGTGTTCTTTTTTTTCCCAATTGCCAACCAAGTGGCTCTCTGTCTTACTCTCTCCGTAGTGCTTTCTCCCTCTTTGGGTTTAGCCATCCTGCTTCAGCTAAGCATAAGGTTTTGTATAATTTTTTTAATATTTTAAATTAAAGTTTGTTTTGAAATTGTTTAAGAATTTGTTTAAAATTTTAAGGTATTTTTAGAAAGTTAAAGAAGGACTATGATGGACTATTATAGTTAAAAGTAGATTATTTTTCTTAAATATCACCCCCATGATTTTCAAATTATTTTCCTAGGAAACCCATTTTAACGGCAATCTTCAAAGTAAAAGAAAAGCGAATCCAAAGGATTGAGATCGCCTGATAACAAGATCGATGCCAGCTGTTTTCTAAGCCATAAAAATATCCATTAAATTCCAAGTATTAAACAAGGAACAATGGCTAAATCTATCACATAATAACGATCTAATAACAATCTTTCTATTGGCGGTCAGGAAGAAACACCTTGTGATGAATTCGAAGAATTCTTCCGAGAACGTAGATTTTTCGGCGAGTGCATGAACCTGCACGGCACTTGCAAATTATGGCCATTAGTCAAAGCGTTGATTTCTTTAGGCCCCCAAGCCAGAACCGTTGATTGAAACGATTCTCCTCGCACGCCATCAGAAGAGAGAGAGAGAGAGCGAGAGAAGAATGCTGTCCAGAAGAATTCTCGCACCCAGAACCCAATCACAATTCGAATCACAGCTGCAATCATAGCCGAGACTTTTCAACTGTCAATTATTTCCATATACTTTATGCACACAACTCCAGACTTTTTTTTTTTTTGGATTTTAATGCGCTAAACGGCGCAAGTAAATGACCAATAATCATGGGAGCTGCCAGTTCTTTGGCTGCCGGTTGGTTGGCTCCATGAAACGAGGCTCCATGTCTTGGCCAGTCCATGTGCAATTTATTTTTGCATTAAATTGCAATTTGGCCAAGACTCTGGCAGTTTTCTACCATTTATACAGATATTATCGTGATTAATAACCAACAAACATGTCATATGCTCGTTTCGTGTGTGTTTGATTGGAGCGCATTAGGATCGCGGCTTTTAATGATCCGGGAGTCTGGCCAGGCAGATTCCTGGAGTCTGCTCTGTCTCACGGTAGCAATTATGTCGCTTAGTGCAGCTTACGGTTGATGATCCTTCTGGCTGCCAGCACGGAGGAGGTGGGGATGATTTTAGTGATCCCTGGGATCATCCTGAATGGCGGCGCCATCAAAAGATCACCGATTGCGATTGCAAATTCCAAGGTAAACCCCGTCGTATTGACACAAGCTTCCTTTAAATGAAGGCCCGGACTTAATGTCGTTATATTTCGATAGTCGCGCTTTTAAATGCCCGTTTCCTGTGCCGCCTCGATTGCAGTTTAGTTTCCTCCCGGCCGCTCCTCCTCAGGGACACGATCATCGATGGAAGCCCAGGTCCCAGTCCTTCATCCCGGTCCGGGTCCCATCCCAGGTCTCAATTCCACCATCGTCTGTCTGTCTCAAGGCAAATGGTACATGATTTCAAATTTCAAGTACCAGTTTACATAAAGATCGCACAGTCTAAAGCTAGTTGCACTTAAAAAAAGAGTTTAATTAAATATTTTTTTGAAAATATTAAACATGATTTTAAGGTGAATTCTTAACTATTAATTAAAAGAGAAGAGCTCTTTATGTAAAATAGCCTTCTTACTTATTAGAAATGTATTAAAGGTCTTAATACATAATTTTCTTCATTTCTGATTTATAAATTATTAAAAAATATATATATTTCCAAGTGCAGAGAATAAAAGAGAAACCAGTCCCTCCTGCTCCTTCTTGTCCTAGCCCATCTTGTCCTTTAGTTACCATACCATACCATATCGTACCGTACCGTTCCTTTTCCTGGGCTGGGTTGGGCGATCCCCAGCAAGGGAATGCCTTGAAGCCTCACAACCATCTGTCACAAGGTCCCAGTTGCCAGTTCCCAGTTGCCAGTTGCCAAGTTCCAAGTTTGCCCAGTCAGTTGCCAAGTTTCCAGCTCCGTCTCAGATCGCGAATAAGAATGCGCTAAACTTGATTCCTTCGAAGCGAGCGCCGAGTGCGCATGCGTGGGCTGGAATTACATGATCACGATCAGCGATAAAACTTGATGTTGTACATAGCAGGTAACATCAGGGCAGGGCAGGGGGTTGAGCAGATGAGGAAGCGGGAGCGGCAGCGGCAGCGGGATTTGGCAAGATCCCTTACCAAAGCGGGATCAGCATCTCCAACCAAGAATGAGGGGAGCGGTCCCGATCGCAGCGATTCATCGCCTCATACAAAATGTCGCAAAAGTTGTACAAATCTACACAGAGCTTCAAGATCATAGTACTGATTCTTGGTAATATATAACTGGAATAAATAAATAAATAACTGACTTATGCTCTTAAATAAATTGTATATTATTTTAAGCTTTCTTTTAAATAATCAAGAATTAAACCAACTTGCAACTATCTCCAAGCCATCATATCCTTACCCTTAAAATCATAACAACAGGTGTCCAGAGGTACCCAATTCATTTAATAATAAAAAAATATATTTCAAAAAATTACCCTAATTTTTCTTACAGTGACAGAACCCTCATGGTCTTTGGGCCTTTGTCGATCGCCCCAAGTCGTGTCAAATTATTGATTGCTGTCTTTTAATTTGATTTTGATTTTTCCACCGACTCTTGTCATCTTTCCGATCGCAAACGATGGTACCGGCCATCGATGGGACGGGGTCTTAAAAATTATTAATCTGCTGCTTTGATTTGAAGCGACACACCACGATCGTGACAAAGAAAAGTAAAAGTCATAACACACATCTAGGGCTGCGATAAGATCGCCAAGATCACCGGCTAACACCGATAATCTGGTCCATTGTTTTGAAGTGACTTTTTTTTTGTATTGTATGATTATTGGAACTGAGTAATTATCATGGGCGTACGCTTGGGTATCAGATTTTTCGGTTTGTTTCAGGGATTCCCTGAAATAGACGGCAGCTCATTAGCCGCAGGCGTTGCCGCTGATTGGGCCAACTATAATCCCTGACAGAGATTAGGCCCTGGTCTTCAGTTTTCTGTGGAAACCGAATCGAAAATCAAAAATCGAAAAGAAGGCAGGCGGTAGTCGATGTTTTGTGGTTGGCACGGCTTTTTATTTCATTTTATTCCGCTCTTGACGCAGATCTCTTATCTCGATTTTTTATAGCAGTATTTCGTGAGGATTTGACATATCTACTTGGTAATTTGATCTATTGGGTAGAGACCTCTGTTTGTTGTCTTTTCGAAGGTTGCATTGCCAGCGACAAACAACAGAGGGAAATCATAATTACAATGGATTAGAAAATATTAATATTTCTTTCATCTTTGCCGTAGGTCATGGCTTGGGGTATTTGTGTTTCGAAAGTACTTGAAGTGTTTGTGTGTCTGTCGAGCTGATCAAATACCACATGTCCCGGTAATTATTGTCAAATAAGTGTGACTCCTTGAGAGCTCTTTGGTGGCGCCCCAGCCTCTCGAATATTTCCGTAATTCCTGCCAATTTCCAAATTATTTCGGTTTCACGTCCAAAGCCATCACACTCAAGGTGACTCGATCTTGAGTTCCCACACACACCCAATCACCCGAGAACAGAGTGCGAATGTGAAATGTTTCCTGCAGTCTCCCACCACCGCCCCCGCACCGGCCACTAAAACATTCCTCAAATGATTTGCATGCCTTCCCCAAAAAGATCCGATCGGAACCGATCCAAAAAACCGAGCTGGTCCGAAGAACAGGGCCCAATCAAATCGAAACCATCTGGCTGAACTGATTCGTGGGAATCAGTTCAATACAATTTGCATGAACACACAAATACTCAAGACTCGAGATTCGAATTGCCAGCAAGGGGGGCTACGTTTGTCAATTAATTGCAACAAACGGAGTAAAAATCGTAATGCAACACAATGGCAAATTGTTGCAATTTTCTCGCGGGCCAGAAGTAGTAGAAAGACGGACGTACGACTGCCGAATTATTGAGTGACTGAATGAGTGGCTCGAATGACTGACTGACTGATGGCCGAAGTCTTTTCGTCTTGCATCGTTGAATGGGGGCATGGTTTCTAAAGTGGTAAGTGGCTATAAGGAATTTTCTTAAAATAATACAAATAACTATAAGGACTACAAAAAAATGGTTAAGAGAAATAAACCATTCAAGAAACCTTTGGTAGAATTTATCCTTTAGAGTTTATACATATTGTAATAATCCTATACCAATCCTATCTTCCAATCTCCTATACATTTTGTATGTAAAAATTTCATTTAGTTAAGTAACACTGTATATAGCTAAGGCATGTGTCTGATGGTCGGGGATGGTGATACCAAAACATCGTTCCGTGTTCGCGGTCACCTCTTGTATTATTTTATTTTTATTTTTTTTTCCATGCCAAATGGTCGAAATGTTGTTCTGTGTTTTTTTTTTTTCAAAAGGCCTAAATGGCCAAATTGATGCGCGATGCGATTTAACGTTTCTTTGATTGAGCTAATGACAGGCGACTACGTGAGAAAGAAATGTATTTCAATTTCGCATTCGCATTGGGTCAAAAGCGAGAAGTTGCAACGGCT